TGGGGCCTGGCCTTCAGTCCCGCCTCCCAGCGCCTGGCCTCCTGCTCTGCCGACGGCACCATTCGCATCTGGGACCCCAGCAGTAGCAGCCCGGCCTGCCTCTGCACCTTTCCCACGGCCAGCGGTGAGGGGGTGGGGGGCGCCCCGGGATGCCCGGGCCACGCAGAGCCAGCCTTTCTGACCCCTGCCTTTTCTTCCCTCTGCCCTCAGAGCACGGGGTCCCCACCTCAGTGGCCTTCACCAGCACCGAGCCCACCCACATCGTGGCATCCTTCCGCTCCGGTGACACCGTCCTGTATGACCTGGAGGCCGGCAGCGCCCTCCTCACACTGGAGTCCCGGGGAGGCAGTGGTAAGGGGCTGGGTGGAGGGGCTCTGGGAAGGGGAGAAGGGGAGGGAGGGGCAAGGCTGCTTGCAGGTGACACAGGTGTCATCTCCCCTCATTTGCAAAAGCAGCACGGTGGCCCCGTGGCCTGTCTCTGCTTCCACACTTTGCTCCTCACATCCCTCCCTCTCCCCTCCATCAGGCCCCATGCAGATCAACCAGGTGGTGAGTCACCCCAACCAGCCGCTCACCATCACTGCCCACGACGACAGGGGCATCCGCTTCCTGGACAACAGGACAGGTGAGGGCACGGAGCCAACTCAGACCCAGTCCTGGTGCCCCCGGAAGCTCTCAGGTGCCACCCCAGCTCCCTCACCCTCCTGCTGATGCCCAGAGCGGGAAGGGAACTGGCTACCACCCTCCTCTCTCTCCAGGTAAATCCGTGCACTCCATGGTTGCCCACCTGGACGCCGTCACCTGCCTGGCTGTGGACCCCAATGGCGTGTTCCTGATGTCAGGCAGTAAGTGGGGACCTCAGCAGGGTGGGGACCACCATTGCTCCTGTGAGGATAGGGGTCACTATCCTCTGGAGACCTGTCACCTGTGTCATCTATACTACCTGTACTGCCCTGGGACAATGCAGAGGCTGGCATGATCCTTTGCCTTGCACAGCATGTGGGGAGAGGGGAAAGCAGTAGGATGAGACGCTGGGGGTGGAGCTCCCACCCTGCTGCCTCGGGCTGTACCTGCAGGGGTGTGAGGGTCTTCCACGGAGAGCCAGGGGCTGTGGGGCAGGCCTGAGGCTTAGACTCAGCCAGCACCACATGCGGCTGAGTGTGCACGTGTGTATTTGTGCATGTGCACAGGGATGAGCGTGGTACAGCACATCTCTGGCTTTGCCTCTCTGCCATGCACTGGTGCTAAGCAGCCCTGCCCCAAACCCAGCAGCTGAAGTGTGTGCACAGTAGCACGTGCCCAGCATGGTTAATACACTTGCAGGAGGCATTCCGTTCTGGAAGCTGGGCACCACCAATGCTTCCCTGTTCCCAGCTAGTGCCTCCTGCCCAGCCACAGCCCCAGGCCCTGGACCCTCACACATCTGGCTCCTGGCTGTCACCCAGCTGTTGTGCTGCCTATTGTCAGACACTTGGAGGCTGTCCCGCTACGCTTCACCTCCCTGAACTGCCACTGACCTCCCCTGGAGTGCTGGCTGCTGTGTTCTTAATGCAGGCTTTTGCATTGTGTTGTCATCTGGGGGGACCTGGAGGACCCTCCCCCCCAGCCCAGCATGGGATTCCTGGGCTTTCCCTCAAGCCCCACCCCGTCTGCTGTGTTTTCATTCCACCTCACGGCAGTGGCCACAGGACAGTGAACCTCCCAGGGCCTGGCACACAGTAGATGCTCAGTAAACAGTTGGTGACTAGCTGGATGGTGGTCAGGATGGGCAGAGCAATGCAGGGAAGAGGGCAGAACCCTGCCCCACTCCTCCCCCCCCCCCCCCCGCCCCCGATGGAGGGGAGGCCTTTGGCTCCATGCTGGTCCCCACAGCTCCTACTCTTTCAGGCCACGACTGCTCTCTGCGCCTGTGGAGCCTGGACAACAAAACGTGTGTGCAGGAGATTACAGCTCATCGGAAGAAGCACGAGGAGGCCATCCACGCGGTGGCCTGCCACCCCAGCAAGGCCCTCATTGCCAGCGCTGGTGCCGACGCCCTAGCCAAGGTCTTCGTATGATGCCCGCCTGGCCTCACTCTGGCCGCATGCTGGCTGCAGATCGGGGCCCGGCAGGTGGGATGGAGGTGAGGGCATCAGACCTTTTCCTGCTGTGGGTGGGAAGGGCAGAACGCTCATCCTTGCGCTGGACTGCCCTCACAGCCCCTCCTTCAGGCTGTGCCAAGTCCCCTAGTCCTAGGAAAATGGCTGACACGCCTCTGGGAACGTGGGGCGGCGCTGGACCTCGAGAGGAGCCCTAACCTATTGTCCTGGTCCAGTCTCCAGTCTCCCGACCTGAGTCTCTGCAGGCGGCTCCCAGCCTCCTCCCACCTGCCCCAGAGCCTGGTGGTGCTAAAGGCCCCTTCTCCAGAAATGCCCTGCCCCTTCCCTGCCCCTCCAGCGGGGCCCCAAGGCCTGCTCCTGCCATTGGCTGCCCCCCAACTGCAGAGGCAGCCAGGACCAGGGGTCCTTGGGGGTCCTTTTTTTTCCAAGATGCCACAAGGTGCCAGATTCTGCCCTTGAGCCCTGCCCCGCCTCCGCCTCCAGCCCCCCAGTAGGGAAGTCTCCAGACACCCCCCTGCTGTCCAACACTAACCCGGCCTCTAGGACCAGGAATTGCTTGGGGAGGCCGCTCCAGCCCCACTCCTGCAAGGGCAGCCCTCCCAGCCCCCCACAAGAGGCCAGGCAGAGAGGGTGGGGCAGGCCCTGGGCCCCCAACTCCCTGTATATCTGTATAAATGGATGGGACTTTAATGGCGCCACCCACATTATCACTGTGTGATAGTCTGTCTGTCTCCTGGCTCCACACTTTGCCTCTATTTATTTCATTCTGTCTGGGTTCCCCCCCTGCACCCTTGGTCCCTCCCCCACCCCCCACCCCCAGGCCCCTGTTTATAAGCCTCAACCCTCACCTCTGCCCTGAACTTGTATGTGAAAACTTGTCTCAATAAACCCTTTGGAGTAAGATGGGTGCCATGCCGCTGAACTCGAAGGGAGGAGCTTGGCTGGGGGGCGTTTGGGGAGAGGAGGTATGATGGGTTTGGAGTTTCTTGTGGTAGGATGAAGGGGCAGAGGGGCCAGAGAGCCTGGGTGGAGGTGGCTGTGAAGGGGCGGAAGCAGGGGCATGGGACCGAATCTCCGTGTGCCCTCCCCAGGGGCAGAGGCTGCAATGAGAGTTCAGCTACAGACCATGCCTGACTGGGTGCTTGAGCCTGCCAGCTAGCACCTTTCATTCCCCACCCCATGCCTTGGTAGACCTGCCATCCATGCTGGGAAAACTCCTAGAGGACACATGTAGCCCAGACCCCACAGCGCATGGGGTCCCTTCCTTCCCCTCCCAGGGGCCATCTGTGCAGCTGCTGGGAGCCATGCCTGAGCTCAGGCCTTTATCCATAATCATTTCATGGTCCCCAGGACCTCGCAAAATGCCCCCCCCCCCTCTCCTTGCTACAGGGGATGAGGCAGGGAGAGCTTACTCAAGACTTTGGCAGGTCAGGGATTTAGGTTCCAGTCCTGTCCCTCTGCTGCGAGGCCTCCCTTCTTCCTAGCCAGGCGTCCCCACGTGATTCCTAGCTTGTGAAGCTCATTCCCCTCAGGGTAGAGGGTAAAGGGCTCTGTGCCTGGTGCCCAGGCCCACAGCACCTGAGGGAGCAGGTGGGCTATATGGGCTATGTCCTAGGGACAGGCCCATCTGGAAAGCCCGGGCCACCGCGGCTGCTCATAGCACGTGGCCTTGCCCCACCCACTTCCCTCAGGCTCCCAGCTTCCCCAGGTGGTGGTTTGGGGTTTCACTCCAGCCTCAGACTTCCTTCCTCAGCCCCAGGCCCCCGGATGTGGTGATGGAGTCCGCACCACCCTCCTCAGCTGCCCCCACCACTCCTGAGCCAGTAAGGGGGCTCTTTGCAGCCCCCATGCCCACCAGTCCTCTGGCCCCAGCTCATGGCCAGGCTAGAGGCATCTGTCAGGTGATGAGACAAGTCATGGCAGTGTAGCTTCTGCTTCCTGCAGTGCGGGAAAAGAAATCAAGTCAGAACTGCTCCTGAAAGGGAATGGAGGTGTGCCTGTCAGAGCCCCGCACACAGGAGGCCCTCAGGAGTAGATGTTTCCCGGTTGGTTGGCTGGCTCATCAGAAGGAACAAGCGACCCTAGAAATCATGCAGCCCTGAGGTGCCTCCCCTTTCTCCAAAGGGACAGCCTCCAGCCCCCAAAGAACTTCTGTGTTTCCACCTGCCTTGCAGCACAGAGACCCTGCGTGTTAGGGTGTTAGGTCACAGCCCCGAGGAGTAGCCAGAGGGGGCTCTTGGAGGGGCCTAAAGTAGGGAAGGACACGGCCCCAAGAGATTGCCTTCTGGATCTCATCCCTCCCTGGCCTGCCCCTCAGCCCTGTGGGCCTCCACAGGCGTTGGGGGGCACAGATAGAAGCCAGCTCCATCCTCTCTGCACCATGCAGCTCGGCCCCCGTCTTGAGACAGACCTGAAGCCAGGCCTCGGTCCTCCCACCTGGGAAATGGGTTGGAGATACTTTGCAGACGTGTCCCCGGCTCCGGCTTGGGGGGCGGGGCGCGGGCCGGGGTGACGCTGGGGGCCCGGAAAGCAGACCGGACTTGACACCCTATTTCCGACCCTCGCCCCAGCGGGGAGCGCCGGATGCGGGCCGGGCGGGGCTCCCCTCCTCACAGGACCCCGGAGACCCCGTGCGGGGTGACGGCGGCCCCGCCCCCTGTCCCAACCCGGGCGCTCTCAAACCCGGGTGCTCTGGAGGGAAGAAGGGGCGCCCCTGCCGCCCCGCCCCACACACGCCAGGTCCCCGAGCCCCGGCCCGCCCGGGTCCCCGAGCCCCCGCCCGCCCCGGCCCGCGGGCCCGCCCTCCCCTTCCGCCCCCACTCTCCTGCCCCGGGCCGGCCCCGCCCCGCGATGTCACGAGCCCCGAGTCGATTGGCTGACGGCGCCATCGCTCCCGACACTTCCTCCTGGGCCGCCGCCGCGTACTTAAACTTTGGAGGGGTGGAAAAAAAGAGGGGCCCGCGCCGCGCGACCCTCCCTTGACCCCCCCGCCCCGCCCCGCCTCCGGTAACGCCCCTTCCCCGCGGCCCCGGACCCCAACTTTTCTCCAACTTCTGAGACCCGTGAGGTTCCCTGCTCTCTCGTCCCGGCCCCGGGGACCCCTCTGTCCATCCCTGGGCTGGATCCTTAGGACCCACTGGCTCCCCAACCCAGAGACTTCTGTCCTCGACCCCCAACGTGGCCTATTTAGTGAGATCCTGGGTCTCAGAGCCACTGTTCCCCGAGATCGGATCCCCCCTGTTCTCCTCTCAACCTCTTCTTTCTCCCACGGGGCTCTGGATCGCGGGATCTCTTGATCTCTGAACCCTGACCTACTAGGTTTTCCTGATTTCTTGGCATCTCTCCATCGCTGGATCTCCCTCCCTCTACCACCACCACTTGTCTTTCTGATGGTCTGTGATCCCGTGATCCCAGGCGTGAGATCCACTAGATCTCTCTCTCTCTCTCTCTCTCTCTCTCCCTCTCTCTCTCTCTCTCTCGTTTTCCAGAATCCCGCCATCCTCTGGTCTCTCATCTGGCCAGTTATCTCCTCCTGACTCCCTGAGCTCCTCCCCTAGGTCCCCTGGGATCTAGGACCCAGTTTTCCAGGACTTCCCCAGCCGGATCCCGGGTGGGCCACCGGGTCCGGACCTGCCCCCCATGGCCGCTGCCCCCACCCATCCCGCCGGGCTCCCCGGCTCTCCGGGGCCGGGGTCTCCTCCGCCCTCCACTGGCTTGGAGCTTCAGTCGCCACCCGCGCTGCTGCCCCAGGGCCCGGCGCCGGGCTCGGGGGTCTCCTTCCACATCCAGATCGGGCTGACCCGCGAGTTTGTGCTGTTGCCCGCGGCCTCCGAGTTGGCCCACGTGAAGCAGCTGGCTTGCTCTATTGTGGACCAGAAGGTGAGGCTGGGGCTCTCCGATCCTGCTTGGGAAGAGGCCCCAGCAGGGGGGCGCGGGCAGAGGGTGGGGGGAGGAGAGGGAGGCCCTGCTGGACGACTGGGAAAGGCACTGGCCCCGAGTTGAGTTCTTACCCCACTACTAAGGTTTGGAGAAGGCGAGGGCAGGGGTGGGGTGCCCCAGAGGCCTCCTCAAATTGCGAGTCCCTGCATGTTTGTTGTTTTCTGCAGCGGGGAGGGAGGAAGGGAGGGGCCCGTCCGGATTTGTATAGGAAAGAGGCAGGTAGGGGACAGCAAATGTGGGGGACCTCCCTCCCCACCCACAGTCCCCCACTTGTTGGAAACAGTAGAAACCGAAGCCGGGCTGGCCGTGGGGATCGGGTGACATGTGTGGGTGTAGGTTTTTGCACAGATGGCCAGGGCAAGTGAGGACTCAGGACCTGATAGATCCTTCTCCTCCCCCACCCAACCTGATGTGTGTACAGAGGCAGATGCCCTCCATGTCCTCCTCAGAGATTGGGGGGGGGGGGTCTGAAACCTCTCCTAATCCCTGTGCCCCTACTGGGCTTGAACTCAAGAGTCTGGGCACTGTCCCTTAGCTTTTTCCTCCAAAGGCTAGAACTCTAGCACTTGGACCACAGCTCTACTTCTAGCTTTTGGCTGGTTAATTGGAGGTAAGAGTCTCAGATTTTGCTTTGAGTATGCAGAGCTCAGCCTCCTGAGTTGCTAGTATGACAGACATAAGCCACCAGCGCCTGGCTTTGTTCTTAAACTTTATAGACTTCAGGGTCTCCCAGGCCAAGCCTGTGGGGTCATGGTGAGAGAGATGACCAAATGGGCCTGGTTCCCCAAATCTTTACATTGTTAAAAGTTCGAATAGTGGGCTTCTATGCTCTTCATTTGCCAGCTTCTGAAAATGTTGGAATTTTTTAATTTGAAATAGTGGCAATATGTTTCCTAGGTCATCAAAATCCTCTGACATTAAAATATTCAAATCTTGGAATGGTTTATTGAAATGCTCCAATGCTATGATATCTAGATATTCTAATCTTCCTTTGATATACACAAAGCACTTGGAAATATTTGATGACTGCTAATCTAGGTCATTAAAATCCTCAAATGTACAATAACAATCATTAGAATTCAGGGTATATAATTGTGAGCATGTTGGGAGCATCAAACATCCAGGATTTCCTCAACTCCCTAAAAATGAATTCTTTGGGCTCCCCCAAAGAAACAGAAAAGGAAACTCTTCAAGTTTAGGAGAAGACTTTCCCTGGGGACCAAGGCCAAGCAATCCTTGGTTTTCTGTAGAACACTAAGGCTTATAACTTGTTTGTTTGTTCTTTTGAACTGCTAAATCCCCAAATCTAGCAGGCCTAGACCCCATCCCCCAAGTCAGCCTGCCTGCTAGGACTGCCCTGCTGGGGGTGGAGATTGTCCTTGGGTACAATTCTTTGTCCTCCCAGCTCAAAGCTCAGCCCAGTTTCTTCTGCCCAGGTGCGGCTGGGCGCCCTCCCCCCTCTCCTGCCCTCTCTCAGCACCTCACCTGGGCATTTTGTTTCACTTTCTGTCTTACCAGGTTGCATTTCCTGCCCCGACTCCCCAAAACTGGGTCCCTGACACCTGGGTTATGTGTATTTGGGCAAAGGACAGCCTTTCCAGCAACCCTGCATCTTCCCTGCCCCCCCCCCCTTACATTAGTCCAAAATCCCCTTCTCCCTCCTCCCCAATGCTGGGCCTAGAGCCAACTATCGGGGACAATAGATCCAGGAAGGAAGCTGGGGTGTGGGGGACAAAGGAGGGGGTGCTTACTCAGGGGGGTCCCCTCAGGTCTAGCTGCTCCCAGAGCTGCCCAGCACCAGACACCAAACTCAGGCCTGTGGTCCCCCTCCCAGCACACCTGGAGCCCCCACTTCCTGCCCTGCCCCCGCTGGGGCTAGGAGGGGACAGACAGGAAGCAGTGGGCTGGGGGGGGTGGTGTCTGAGTTTCCAGAGGAAACTGCCAGCCACCCCCCCAGGAGGGTTCCAGGCCAAGGCTCTGAGCTTTTCCACCTCCTTTTCACCACCTCTTTCTCCCTCCCCTCAGTTCCCAGAGTGCGGTTTCTATGGCCTTTACGACAAGATCCTGCTTTTCAAACATGACCCCACGTCTGCCAATCTCCTGCAGCTGGTGCGCTCTGCAGGGGACATCCAGGAGGGCGACCTGGTGGAGGTGGTGCTGTCAGGTGAGGCCTGGCTTTGCTTGGAGGGGAAGGAAGGATGCTTCTGGGTGAGGGGTGGTGCCTCTGAAAGGGGCGGGGATCAGATTCACAACCAGGCATTTATAGGCTAGGGATTGTGGTCCTGCCTGGCGAATTAGGGGCCCTGCCAATCCCTATTGAATATATGCACCATGGGTTCACATTGGAGAATTCAGCCAGCCCTGGCCAATCATGCACCATCCACAGCCACATGAAGAAAAGTCCCTGGCATAACGCTGAGTTACACCTTCCACACCAGGCTGCCAGGTGTGATGTGTTCACTTGCAAACCCCATTACACGGTGGAGCGATCCCTGGTCCAAGACATGTCCAGGGCAAAAGCTCAAGACTCGATCTGAAAAGAATAACTACAGCAAGTCAAACTGGGGGTGTGGCTCAAGTGGTAGAGTTCCTGCCTAGGAAGCGTGGGAACTCACACTTAAATTCTTTTCTTTATCTGTGATTATAAAAGGCATCCTCCTACTCTAGTGATCACTGAGTAGATCTTTGCAAGGGAAGCTGAGATCTGGCACCTGTACTTGTAAAATCTCCCTTAGAGCCAGGTGCTGGAGGCTCACCGTGCCTGCAATCAGCTTCTTGTAATCTCAGGAGGCTGAGATTTGAGGATTGCAGAAGCCAGCCTGGGCAGCAAAGTCCATGAAACCCTCTATCTCCAATGAATCACTAAAAAGCCAGAAGTGGATCTGTGGCCCAAGTTGGTAGAGTGCCAGCCTTGAGTGAAAAAGTCAAGGGAGAGCTCAAAGACCTAAGTTCAAGCCTCAGGACCAGCACAACAACAACAAATCTATAGAGACAGGGAGAGTCTGTCTAGTCAAAACAAAATCAAAGGAGATAAAAGGGACAGCTCTCTACCCAGGAAACCACGCCCCATTTCTCTGTCAGCCTCTGGGGGGTGGGGGCAGGGTATAAGTAGGTATTTTCCTAGTGGTGGAACTGAAGTTTGGACCCCTGCAGAACACAGAGTGTGAATGAAGACAGAAGGGACCGATCAAACCTTGCAACTCGGGGGGGGGGGTGCGGGAAGGGGGGGGCGCCTGAGAAACTCTGGCCAGAGTAACTTTTCGTGAGGAGGGCGGTTGTCACATAGCCAGAGACTCAGAGCTCAGGCCTGTGTCCTTCTCTGCTGCCTGCAGCCTCTGCTACCTTTGAGGACTTCCAGATCCGCCCGCATGCCCTCACGGTGCACTCCTACCGCGCTCCAGCCTTCTGCGACCACTGCGGGGAGATGCTCTTTGGCCTGGTGCGCCAAGGCCTCAAATGCGACGGTGAGGGGTGGAGCCTAGAAAGTGGGCGGGGCGAGGGTGTGGGGTCTAGGGAGAGCGGATATAAGGGCCGAGCTTGGGGTGGGTGGGGCTTGGGATGTGGGCGGGGCTGGTTTCTTAAACTGGAGAAGTTGCGTGAAGGTTTGTGTTGGGCAAGGATCCAGCCGAGAAACAACCAGAGATAAATATTAAGTCTTCTCTGAAGGAATTTATTTAGAGGATTGCAAGGCCTGGCAGGAAGGAACTCGGGCCTAAGGGCCTCAGCTCTTTAATCCTTTGCACTGATTGAGTCACCCAGCCATGAACTAGGATAATCACCTGCATTACTGCCCTCTGATAGCAGATTTTAGTCCTATCTGCAAAAATACCTTCACAGAAGCACCTTCCCAAGGGAAAGCACATAAAGTTTGACCATCAGGGTCCATCTTTTGTCATTCTGGCACCTGACTTGGCTTGCTAGGACAGTCATACCACAAACTGGATGGCTTCAAGCCGGGTGCTGGTGGCTCACGCCTGTAATCCTAACTACTCAGGAGGCTGAGATCTGAGGATCGCAGTTCAAAGCCAGCCTGGGCAAGAAAAATCTGTGAGACTCTTATCTCCAGTTAACTACCAGAAAACCAGAAGTGGAGTTGTGGCTCAAATGATAGAGCGCTCACCTTGAGCTGAAGAGCTGAGGGACAGCGCCCAGGCCCAGAGTTCAAGCCCCACAACCTACAAAAAAGGGGGGGGGGTGGAAATGAGAGGCAAGGTTAGCAGGGGGGGCAAATGAAAGGAGTAATATTTGAACAGGGTGGACTGGGGTGAAGTTCTAGGGGTGTCCCTTGTAGTAGGAAGGGAAGAGGAGATGAGAAGAGTTGTGGGGACCTGGTGGGAGGGCGGAATCAAGGGTGGGAGTAGGGCTCCAGGTCAGAATTAGAGATTGGGTCGGTGATTGGTAACTTTGGTGGTGTTATGCCTTTAGAAGGGGATTGGGGTTTGAGCAGAAATACTAAGGGTGAGAACCAGGTATGCATGCCTGGAATCCAAGCCTTCAAGAGATGAGGAAGATCATGAGTTTGTTACCAACCTGGGCTACATAATGAGACTCTGTCCCCCAATAAAAAGAAGGTGTAGGGGGGCAGCGGGCCTAAGCTGTCTTTGGCCATGTGGCACCCTCTGCAGGCTGCGGGCTGAACTATCACAAGCGCTGTGCCTTCAGCATCCCCAATAACTGCAGCGGGGCCCGCAAGCGCCGCCTGTCATCCACCTCCCTGGCCAGCGGTCACTCAGTGCGCCTGGGCAGCTCGGAGTCCCTGCCCTGCATGGCGGAGGAGCTGGTGAGGGGCTGGGAGTAGGGCAGGCTGGGCTGGGGCTGGGGGTAGGGGACTTGGGGGTGGGTTCTGCATGGGAACAGGCACTGATTGATTGTCCCTCCCCTCCTCCGGGACCCTGTAGACCCGGAGCACCACGGATCTCCTGGGTCGCCGGCCGCCCTCGTCCTCCTCCTCGTCTTCTTCCTCATTCTACACGGGCCGCCCCATCGAGCTGGACAAGATGCTGCTCACCAAGGTGAAAGTGCCGCACACCTTTCTCATCCACAGCTACACACGGCCCACTGTTTGCCAGGCTTGCAAGAAACTCCTCAAGGGTCTCTTCCGCCAGGGTCTACAGTGCAAAGGTTAGTGGGTTCCAGCCACCCCCAACCTGGACTTCTAGCCCAAAGCAAAAATCTCGGTATTCTCAAGACAGAAAAGCCCTGGAACCTTTGGAGTTCTACAATCCTGGAACTCTGGGAATCTAAATTCATCAGATACTTAGCAGGGAAGTCCCCAGCTACAGAACAGGAGAATTCCTGGCATGAGAGAACCATAGAACATCAGCTGAGTCAGCCAGTGGCTCACGCCTGTAATCCTAGCTACTCAGGAGGCTGAGACCTGAGGATCACGGTTCAAAGCCAGCCACGGAAGAAAAATCCATGAGACTCTTATCTCCAGTGAACCACCAGAAAACTGGAAGTGGCACTGTGGCTTAAACCGTAGAGTGCTCACCTTGAGCTGAAGAGCTCAGGGACAGCGCCCAGGCCCAGAGCTCAAGCCTATGATCGACCCCAAAAAAAGACTGAAGCATAGCTCAAGTAAGAGCATCTTCCTAGCAAAGGCAAACGCCAATAGTGCCAAAATATAAAAAGCCCACAGTCATATAATGTCAGAATCTGCCACATTCTAGAATTTTTTTGGGGGGGGGTCCAGTCATGGGCCTGAACTCTGGGCCTGGGCGCTGTCCCTCAGCTCTTCAGCTCAAGGCTAGCGCTATACCACTTGAGTCACAGCGCCACTTCTGGCTTTTTTTTTCTGCTTATGTGGTGCTGAAGAATTGAACCTAGGGCCTCATGGAAGCAAGACAAGCACTCTACCACTGAGCCACCTTCCCAGCCCCCACATTCTAGAATTTTAAGTTGAGGAGAGCATAGAATTATAGATCCTAAAAGAGTTGTTGTTTGCAGAACTGGGGTTTGAACTCAAGAGGCTTGCCCTTGTGCTAGGCAGATGCTCTGGAACCCCCTCCTCCAGCCCTTTCTTCTTTTATGCTGGGACTAGCGTGGACCTCAATCCTCCTGTTGGTACTTCCTAAGCAGCTGGGATGACAAGTACAACGCACCCAGATTTTTTAGGTGGTTGAGTTGGAGTCTCACCCACTTTTGTTTTTGGAGCTGGCCTTAAACCATGATCCTTCTGATCTTTACCGCTTGTATACCTAAGTTTACAGGTGGTAGCCACTAAGCTCGGCTTGCTTTTGTTGTTTTGGAGATAGGGCTTGATTATGTATCTGAGGCTGGCCTGGAAACTACCATATAGCCTATGCTTGCCTTGAACTTGAGATCTTCCTGCCTCTGCCTCCCAAGTGCTGGCATTACAAGCATGTACCACCAAGCCCAGCTTCACTGAGCTTCAGAGTCTCCTCTTGAGTCTCAGGTCCCATGGTTGGAGAAAATGGCTTAAAGTCAGGGACCAACAACAACAAAAAAGCAGCTAGACAAGAACAGACTCCTGAGCTTGCGCATTAAGGTGAGGGCTCAATCCTGTAAATGACCTGTATCCTCCTCCGCCCATTCCCTGTCTTATCAGACTGCAAGTTCAACTGTCACAAACGCTGTGCCACCCGTGTCCCCAATGACTGTCTGGGGGAGGCGCTCATCAACGGAGGTAAGAGGCTGGGCACCTGAGCTGGGGGTGGTAGACACAGGGTAGAGGCCTGAGGCTGGGTAGAGGCCCTCAGATGCCCTTGCTCCCCCAGATGTGCCAATGGAGGAGGCCACGGACTTCAGTGAGGCCGACAAGACTGCCCTCCTGGATGAGACAGATGACACTGGTGTCATCCCTGGCTCCCACTCCGAGAATGCCCTCCATGCCAGTGAGGAAGAGGAAGGCGAGGGAGGAAAGGCCCAGAGGTAGCGGGTTTCTCCAAGAGGCCCTTGCCTTAGCTAACCACTACCCCATCTCTACAATGGGCTGACACTAAAGATTCTCAGTTCCCAAGGCAAACCTTTCAAAGTGCCAAAATTTAACAGTTAACCTTTGTTCCTAATGGACTTCTTTCTTTGGCTGGCTTTCTTTCTTTCTTTCCTTCTTTCTTTCTTTCTTTCTTTCTTTCCTTCTTTCCTTCTTCCTTTCTTTCTTTTCCTTTCTTTTTCTTTTTCTTTTTTTTTTGGTTGGTCATGGGGCTGGAACTTGGGGCCTGGCACTGTTTCTGGGCTCCTTATGCTCAAGGCTAGCGTTCTACCACTTTGAGTCACAGTGCCCATTTTCTGGTGATTAATTGGAGATTAGAGTCTCACGGACTTTCCTACCCAGGCTGGCTTTGAACCTCAATCCTCACATCTCAGCCTCCTGAGTAGCTAGGTTTTCAGGCCTGAGCCACCAGTACCTTGCCCTGATGGACATTTTTTTTTTTAAAGTCACAGTAGAAAACCAGGTGCAGTGATGTAATCCTTGACAGGCTGAGGCAGGAGTACCAGCCCACAGGCCAACCTATTTTGTGCTGATACTATAGGATTTGAGTTCAGGCCCCACTTCCCGATGGCCCAGAGATGCCCCTGTAGCTCTTGATGCTGCATCTGACAGGTGACATCTCACCCCTTCCTTTTCCCCCCGACAGCTCCTTGGGCTACATCCCCCTGATGAGGGTGGTACAGTCAGTGCGACACACCACACGCAAGTCCAGCACCACGCTGCGGGAGGGTTGGGTGGTTCATTACAGCAACAAGGACACTCTGGTGAGTAGGCGGGGCTAGGGTTAGGGGCGTGTCTGCACAGCCTGAGTGGGCGGGGTTGGGATGCTCTGGGTGGGCAGAATCAGAGCTGGATGTTAGGTTTCCTCTGCCAAGCCCCAGTGGAGCTGGAGCAGATTTGAGGGGTGTGAGGCGGTGATGGAGACAGGGCTGGAATCAGAAGGGTGGGTTAGGGGGCTGGAATGGAACAAGCATGGGGATTAAAAATAAAGGGGGGGCAAGTGGGGGGGGCCTGGGGCAGAGTTTGGCTGAATAGTGCTTTAGGCCCCTCAGGAGCTCCAGGCAAGCCCCAAGCCCTGACAGCCTGGGTGGGAGGGGGTGCCCCTCCCCTCCCCCATCTCTCCCAACAGAGGAAGCGGCATTATTGGCGCCTAGACTGCAAGTGCATCACGCTGTTTCAGAACAACACCACCAACAGATACTACAAGGTGAGCCAGGGCCCGGCATCCCCAACCCCTCTGGTCACATCCCTCCACCCAAACCTGCCAATCACATCCTTTCCCCACCCCCAGCTTCCTCTTCTAGCCCCTTAGCCAATCTACCCCTATTTGCCCTATTGGCTCCCACTGCTTCCCAGCTGGGGAACCCATGGCATAATTCCTTAACCTCTGTCCCTCTCAGATCTCTCTTCTGTAAAATGCTTCAAGTAGCAATACTGACCTCAGGGCTCTATCACTTGAACCACACCTCCATTTCTAGATTTTTGGTGGTTACTTGGAGATAAGAGTTTCCTGGATTTTCCTGCTTGGTCTGTCTTTGAACTGTGATCCTCAGATCTCAGCCTCTCAATAGCTGGGATTACAGGCATGAGCCACTTTGTACCTGGCCTTGCATTTTTCCCCCCCACCAATCCCCTCGTTGGTCTTCTGTTTTGGCTGGTCTTCTGTTTTGATCTCAATCTGTCCTAGCTACCCTCTGCTTAACCAGAGGCTACCCCTCCCTTCCTCAGAGCCCTTCAGTGGCTCACTAGGACCCTCAGACAAAACCCAGGACTCTTCTTGTGGGCCTCAGGGCTGTGGCCTCCTTCCCTTCCTTTACTCATCAAGCACCTACCGTATGCAGACACCATCTCATGTGAATGGGGGCTGTGGCGCACTCGGCCTCAGGGCCTTTGTACATGCTGTCGCATCCACTCTTTGCCAGTCTTTCTGGTGGTGTCTGCTTGAGCATCACTTCTCTCTGGAAGCCTTTCCTTTCCATTCCATGCAAGCCAGACCTGTTCTCATGACCCAGATTCCTGGATGCCCCTCTGAATCAGTGGAGGAACCCCATGGGCTAGCATGGCATCCTCTCCTGTACTGATTCTGTGCCCTACCAGGAGATCCCACTGTCAGAAATCCTCGCCGTGGAACCCGCCCAGAACTTTACCCTCGTGCCACCCGGCACCAACCCACACTGCTTTGAGATCATCACCGCCAATGCTACCTATTTTGTGGGCGAGATGCCTGGTGGAGCCCCGGGTGGGCCAAGTGGACAGGGGGCGGAGGCTGCCCGGGGCTGGGAGACGGCCATCCGCCAAGCCCTGATGCCTGTCATCCTCCAAGATGCGCCCAGTGCCCCAGGCCATGCGCCCCACCGTGAGTCCCTGCCCTGGGTCTTGAGGGGCTTAGGTGGGGTCCCAGGGAAGGTGAGAGCCTGGAGCAGCCTAAGAAATAGACTCAGCAGGTCTGAGTTCCAGTCTCTGTTAAGCCCCTAATCTTACGTGTGATCCTGAGCACATTACTTCTCTCCCAGCCTATGCCAGACGGAATGACTGTTTACCCATTTACTGAGTGCCTGCTCTGTCAGGATAGTGACACTGGGACAGGAGCTGGGCAGCTTGTGGGCCATTGAAGGGACCTGGACTAGCAGCATTGTGAGCAGGGAAAGCAAAGGTTAGGGTTGTGTTTCAGCCAGATTCCTCTAGCCTCCTTATCAGGATGTGAAAAGAAAGGGGAGGATTGAGCCAGGCATGGTGGTGCGTACCTTTAATCCCATCACACAGGAGGCTGAGATGCGAGACTCTCAGGTTGGAGACTGGCCTTGGCTACATAGCAAGATCCTGTCTATAGAAACCTAAAAATGAGGCTAGGAATATGGCTTGGTGGTAGAGTGCTTGCCTAGCATGCATGGTCTTGAGTTCGATTCCTCAGTACCACATAAATGGAAAAGGCTGGAAGTAGCACTGTGGCTCAAGTGGTAGAGTGCTTGCCTTGAGCAAAAGAAGCTCAGGGACAGTGCCCAGGCCTTGAGTTTAAGCCTTGGGACTGACAAAAAAAAAAAAAAGGACAGCCAGGTTCTGGTGGCTCATGTCTGTAATCGCACTTAGGAGGATGAGATCTGAAGATTGTGGTTCAAAGCCAACCCAAGCAGGAAAGTCCGTGAGACTTCTTTCCAATAATACACCAGCAAACCAAACGTGGTGCTGTGCCTCAAAGTGGTAGAGCACTAACCTTGAGCAAAATTTCTCAGGGACAGTACTCAGGCCCTGAGTTCAAGACCCATGACTAATAAAAAGAGAGAGAAAGGGAGAGAGGAGAATCGGATTGGGACAAGGAGAGGAGGGTAGAGTCTAGGATCTTTTGGTGGGGAGAAGCTGGACCCTCGGGGCATTCACATAGTAAAAAGAAATGCCAGGCTCTGGCTGGGTTTCTAATGGGACATATTTTGGAAGTCATGGTATCACTTTTGCCTCTCCTTCCCACCTTCCCTCTGTGGGCTCTGAGATCATGGGGGTTGAGACATCATCTCCTCTTATTTTTCTCCTCCCAGTAGCCGTAGGAGCAAGGCCTTTTTTTGGTTGTCATTTTCTAGAAGAGGAAAGTAAAGTTCAGAATGGGCCCAGACAAAGCTGCACGTTGCATCACTCCATCCAATCTGGGTGGGCTGGCTGAAGAGGGGGTTCTTTTTTTTTTTTTGTCGGTCGTGGGGCTTGAACTCTGGGCCTGGGCGCTGTCCCTCAGCTCTTCAGCTCAAGGCGAGCGCTCTACCACTTGAGCTACAGGGCCACTTCCGGTTTTCTGGTGGTTTATTGGAGATAGGAGTCTCATGAGCTCTCCTGCCCGGGCTGGCTTTGAACCGCGATCCTCAGATCTCAGCCTCCTGAGTAGCTAGGATTCCTGGCGTGAGCCACCAGCGCCCGGCTCAGAGGGGGTTCTTTGGAGCTATGGGTGAAGACTTCCCTGACCCCAGGGTCTCTTGACCTCTCATCTCTCCTCCCTCCCCAGGACAAGCTTCTCTGAGCATCTCTGTGTCCAACAGTCAAATCCAAGAGAATGTGGTAAGCTCCTGATGCCTTCCAGCTCCCATATACCTTCCCCAGTCTCCTTAACACCCCATCTCCATTTACACCCCTAACCCTCCTGTCCCCAACCCATAGGACATTGCCACTGTCTACCAGATCTTCCCAGATGAGGTGCTTGGCTCAGGGCAGTTTGGAGTGGTCTATGGAGGTAAGGACTAGGCTGACCCTGGGAATGGGCGGGGCCTTCATGGAGCCACACCTACCTTTTCTGATTGGCCTGATGCTTGCCTTTGTTTTGATTGGCTTAGAGGAAGACTCTTCTCATTGGCAAAACCAATGAGCCTTCTTCCTGTTTTTGTTTTTGTTTTTTTTGTGGTCATAGGGTCTGAACTCTGGGCCTGGGTACTGTCCCTCATCTCTTCAGCTCAAGGGTAGAGCTCTACCACTTGAGCCACAGCACCACTTCCGGCTTTTTCTGCTTATGTGGTGCTGAGGAATCAAACCCAGGGCCTCAGGCATGCAAGGCAAGCGCTCTACCACTGAGCCACCTTCCCAGCCCCCTTCCTGTTTGTTTTTTTGTGTGTGTGCTGATTGGGGCTTGAACTCAGGGCTGAACATTGTCCCCTCATTTTTTCACTCAGAGTGGGCATTCTACCACTTGAGCCACAGCTCACTTGTGGCTTTTTGATGGTTACTTGGAGATTAAAGAGTGGCACAGATTTCTCTGACTAGGATGGCTTCGAATCTTGATACTCAGACTTCAGCGTCCCAAGTAGCTAGGATTACAGGCATGAGCCACTGGTGTTCAGCGTTCACTTTACTAATCAAGTAAAAGTTCCACACTCTGATCGGTGACATCACTAGATACTAGTTTCTGACTGGATATAAGTAAAATTTCCTTTGCTGTCCATTTCCCTCTTTGCAGCTCCATCTTTTGCCGTTCTTCCATTTTTTCCTATCATCTCCAGTCACGGCTCTTACATGTTGGGGACCCCTCCAAGCCGCTCGGGTGACCTTCCATCACTTTCCACCAACCCTGTCTGCTTGTTCTCGGTGGGGTAGGCAGCAGAGGCAGTGTTCATCCTGTCAGGATTGGGAGGTCCCCAGTCCTTGCTTCCTCCTCCTTTACCTCACCCTTCCCCACCCCTCAGGAAAGCACCGGAAGACTGGAAGGGATGTGGCGGTAAAAGTCATCGACAAACTGCGCTTTCCCACCAAGCAGGAGAGCCAGCTGAGGAACGAAGTGGCCATTCTTCAGGTGACCCCTGGATAGGGATCTGGGCAGGAGAAGTAGAGCAAGGTCAGGACAGGCCTGAAGGAAGGGGGAAGGAAAACAAATTTAAAATGAAAAGAAAACAAACAGCTGGAGGCTCACGCCTGTAATTAGAGCTACCCAGAAAGCTGAGATCTGAGGATCGCAGTTCAAAGCCAGCTTGGGCAGAAAAGTCCATAAGATTCATCTTCAATTAACCACACAAAGCCACAGGTGGTACTGTGGTTCAAATGATGGAGTATTAGCCTTGAGCATACAAGCTAAGGGACAGCACCGCAGGCCTTGAGTTCAAGCCCTAAACAAGGCACCAAAGTAAAATAAAAGACAAAAACAAGGTCCACCTGGTGCTGATGGCTCACACCTCTAATCCTAACTACTCAGGAGGCTGAAATCTGAGGATTGTGGTTCAAAAGCCAGCCCAGCCGTGAAAGTCTGTGAGACTCTAATCTATTAATCACCAGAAAACCAGAAGTTTGGCTGTGGCTCAAAATGGTAGAGGGCTAGTCTTAAGCGAAAGAACTTAGGGACAGAGTGTAGGCCCGGAGTTCAAGCCCCATGACCAACCAAAGAAATCTTAAACAAAAAGAAAGGTTCATAGGTTCATTTTTTTCACCTTCCTGCCCCTGCAGACTTCCCTATGTCATTATGCAAAGATGTTTCTAGACACCTGTCCAGTGCTGTGGAGCATCTTGGCCTCCCCTAAGGACAGCCTAATGGGTGGGTCATCTGCTCTCATGTTGCCTGCCAGGGTCTGAGTTCATGGGTGACCTGATCTGTGACCCTTTCTCCCCCATCCTTCCCCTCCCCCAGAGTCTGCGGCACTCCGGGATCGTGAACCTGGAGTGTATGTTCGAGACACCTGAGAAGGTGTTTGTGGTGATGGAGAAACTACATGGAGACATGTTGGAAATGATTCTCTCCAGCGAGAAGGGCCGGCTGCCTGAGCGCCTAACCAAATTCCTCATTACCCAGGTGTGCCACTTGGCCTCAGGCTCCCCCTTGTGGAGGCCCTGGGGACCTGGACACTGGTAGGGGAAAGAGGGGGGGGGGAGGATGGAGAAGGAAAAAGGCAAGGAGTAGTTATAGCAATAAGGAAAAGTGGGGCTGGGAATTTGGCTCAGTGGTAGAGCGCTTGCCTTGTATGCATGAGGCCCTGGGTTTGATTCCTCAACACCACATAGCAAAAAAAGGCCAGAAGTGGCACTGTGGCTCAAGTGGTAGAGCTCTACCCTTGAGCTGAAGAGCTGAGTGATAGTGCCCAGGCCCAGAGTTCAAGCCCCACGACTGACCCCCCTCGCCCCCCAAAAAAAAGGATTCAGTGATAACCCAAACAGGAAAGTCCATGAGACTCATCTCCAGTTAACCAGTACAAAAGCTAGACATATACTTTTGGCTCATGTGGTAAAGTATCAGCTTTGAATGAAAATAACTAAGGGACTGTGTGCAGTCCTCGAGTTCAAACTTTAGTACTCCTCCCCCCCCCCCCCCCCCCCCCCCACACACACAGAAAAAAAAGCTATGGCTGCAGGAATTTTTATTACATAGGAAAATGGGACAAGAGGTTGTTTTTCTCATTTAGTCATTCATTCTTTTATTAAATTCAACACTCTGTGAGCCCCTCTTCCAGGTATGGTCACTTGCCAGGCAGTGCTATGAACCAAAATAACTTGGGCTCTAGAAAGTATCGCCCAGCCAGGCACTGGTAGCTCATGCCTGGAATCCGAGCTACTCAGGAGGTTGAGATCTGAGGATTGTGGTTCGAAACCAGCCTAGGCAGGAAAACCAGGAGCTCTTTATAACCACCAGAAAACTGGAAGTGGTGCTGTGGCTCAAAGTGGTAGAGCGCTTGCCTTGAGTGAAAGAGCTTAGGGATAGCACCCAGGCCCAGAGTTCAAACCCCAGGACTGGCCAAAAAAAAAAGAAAAGAATCACATCCAGAGTGGGCAGGCCTAACCCAGCAGAGGTTAATACTGAATGATGGTGCTAAATGGATAAGTAATGTCATTGGTATTTATTAAGACTAATAATTTGCTAAGCAAATTAGGAGTGTGCTTCCTGCCAGAGGGCCTCAGGTTTTCCCCAGTCCCTCCACTCTAGCCCATCCTTTCTAGAATCTATCCAGCTCTTAGCTCTCAGTAAAAATGCGTCTAGACATCTAAAACTCCATGTTCTCACACATCTCCTGACTCCTGGGGGCACCCTCAGGGATGCAGAAAACGTTCTGGGTGAGGTTTAGAGGGCTAGCTGCTTCGGGTAGACTTGGGATGCCTTCTGCCGGCCTCATGGGCCCTGCCCTCCTTCCCAGATCCTGGTGGCTTTGAGACACCTTCACTTCAAGAACATTGTGCACTGTGATTTGAAACCAGAAAACGTGTTGCTGGCCTCAGCGGATCCCTTCCCTCAGGTCAGTTATGTCCCCTCCTGGTTCTAGGAAACAAGGCCAACCCCAGGGCCCCCACTGCGATCTGGGGTCTTCCCACCTGAGGTGACAATGGTTGACAAGAAAGAGTCTGTTTCTGCCTGCTGTGGAGTCTTAGTACAGACAACAACAGAAGGAGGGAGGAAAGTAGATGAGGTGGACACACCCCTTACCTTCACGGAAGGCAGTCCTTTTTAGTTACATCATCTCTCCTCACATCTTATTGGCCAGAACGTGATCACATGGTCTGAGCTTGCTGCTAAGGAGGCAGGGAAATGTAGTCTGGATGCTGGGCAGCCATGTGTCCCATTACATTGAGGATTTTTATAAAGGGAGAAGGGGAGAACAAGTGGTGGGAACAGCTGGTGGTCTTTATAGGGAAACTCTCAAAAGCAGAAGTTACATAGCCTTGTTGAGAGAGAGAAAACACTATCTGAAGGAGCAGCACTTTGTGTTTTGGAGAAAGAAGTATTCTAGACAGAAGGAACAGCCTGTGCAAAGGCCCTGGGACAGGAAGAGCTGCACTTTTGATAGTTTTCTAACAGTTTTATGGTGGTATAAATTACACTGGGAAGGAACAGGGAAGGAGGAAAGGAAGGGAGGAATGGAGGTAGGTAGATGAGCATGATGATTCGTGCCTGTAATCCCAGCAAGATGTTGTGTTGCGTGTTCAGTGGATTGATCCTTGAGAGACGTGCTGTTATGCCCCTCCTGGGAGAGATGAGGAAACTGAGTCACTTGCCCAAGATCACTTAGCTTGAGAGACCAACTAGCATCTGTTTCCTTTGGAATACCGTGTTGGTAGTACAGGAACACACCAGGGAAGATGTGGCTTCATCCCCCCCAGACCCTGCACCTCTCACCTCTGCAGGTGAAGCTGTGTGACTTCGGCTTCGCCCGCATCATTGGGGAGAAGTCCTTCCGGCGCTCTGTGGTGGGCACACCTGCCTACCTGGCCCCAGAGGTGCTGCTCAACCAGGGCTACAACCGCTCACTGGACATGTGGTCGGTGGGGGTGATCATGTATGTCAGCCTCAGTGGCACGTTCCCCTTCAATGAGGATGAGGACATTAATGACCAGATCCAGAATGCTGCCTTCATGTACCCTGCCAGCCCCTGGAGCAACATCTCAGCTGGTGGTGAGTGGAATTGGAGAGATTGGTGGGAGGCGTGGCCTATGTGGGTGGGGTCAGAGGGGCTGTACTATAAGCCTCCTGTGTCTGAGGATTCCACCAAACTCACCTGAAGCATACTATTTGTATTTGAGCCACACCACCTCCCGGCCTTTTGCTGGTTAATTGGAGACAAGGGCCTCATGAACCTTTCTGCCCAAACTGGCTCTGAACCATGATCCTCAGATCTCGACCTCCTGAGCTGCTAGGATGACAAGGCTTGAGCCCCCAGCACCAGGCACAGATTTGCAGTATAGGTCAGGAAATCAGTAGGCAAGTGTTTGGGGCAGGTGAGATTTCTGAGCTGCCCGGGCACACCGTGATGGCACCAGTCACAGTGGCAAACAGTTGGTCTCTCCATTTTATGCAGCCATCGACCTCATCAACAACCTGCTTCAAGTGAAGATGCGAAAGCGCTACAGCGTGGACAAGTCTCTCAGCCACCCCTGGTTACAGGTAAATCAGGGGGTGTGGCTGTGCTGGGGGAGGGGGTGGAGCTAGACCTTTATTGGCTGGGCAAGTAGTGATAGAGAGCCTCTTATTGGCTGGGCTGAAGAAGGGGGCGGGGATAAATCGCTATTGGCTGAACACTTGCATTGGGTGTGGCTTCATCATCGGTGGTACCCGGTGGGTCTTTGGCTGAGCAGAAAGTCTCCATCACTGCTCTGGCCACAGTTGGCTGCCACAGATGCAGCCCCGAAGCTCACCTACCTCTTCCTGGGCCAGGAGTACCAGACGTGGCTGGATCTCCGAGAGCTGGAGAATAAAATGGGCGAGCGGTACATCACACACGAGAGTGAGGATGCACGCTGGGAGCTGTTCCTGACAGAGCGCATGTTGACCAGCCCTGAATTGCCCGCGGATGGGGAGCTCGCCGGCGCCCGATTGCCGCAGGACCATGAGATGCAGGGACTAGCCGAGCGCATCAGCATCCTATGAGCTGCTGCTCCAGGGAACATCCCAGAGTTGGGATGTTTTAGGGGAAGCAGTTACCCGCCCAGACTGGATGCTTCTTTTTGCAGGATGCTGCAATGGGAGTGGGGAGGTTATCTCGAAGGCCCTCCCTGTCTCCCCAACAATTAAAATGGACTTGTCTCTCGCCATGCCTGGGTCTCTGATCACACCCCATTCTTGACTCTTTAGTTTGTAGTCATTGCCCAGTGTCCCAGAGAATCGTGGAGCGAATATCACTGGGACAAGTGCAAAATTCAAAATTTGAATGTGCTGTCTACTGAATTGTATCACTTCTGTCCCAAGATAATGTTAAAAAAAAATAATCTGAGCCATTGAAATTTGGGGGCCATCAACTCATGGTGTAATGGGTTTTTTTGTTTTTTGTTTTGCAGTGCTAGAGTTCAAATCCAGGGTCTTGTGCATGCATGCTAGGCAAGTGCTCTACCACTTGAACCAGGGCCCCAGCACTTTTGTTTGTATTTTGATTTTGAGACAAGGTCTTCCTATCTGCCTAGTCTGGCTTCCAACTTGAGATCCTCCTCTCCTGCCTCTGCCTCCTGAGTGCCTAGGTTTGGGATTATAGGCATGTGCTTTGTTTTGTGGTTTTTGCAGTACTGGGGAGTGAGCTCAGGGTTTTGTACTTGCTCAGCCCTTTTGCTCATGGCTGGTGCTCTATCTGTTGAACCATATCTGGCATTTTGCTGGGTAGATTCTCATTTTTTTTTTTTTTTTTGTCGATTGAGGGGCTTGAACTCAAGGCCTGGGTGCTATCCCTGAGCTTTTTCATTTAAGGCTATCGCTCTACCACTTTGAACCACAGCACCACTTCCGGTGGTTTTTCTGGTGGTTAATTGGAGATAAGAGTCCCACAGAATTTCCTGCCCCGGATGGCTTTGAACCACCATCCTCAGATCTCAGCATCCTGAGTAGCTAGGATGACAGATGTGAGCCACTGGCCGCCAGCTTCCTCTCACTTTTTTTTGCCATGGCAGGTTCTCCCACCAGGAGCCACCGCCCCTGAGAGGAGCACTGGCTTTTAAGGAATAACCGGGAAGGTTGTAGGAAGGCTCTTGGTGTAGTGACAGAGGCCGGCCGCCAGAGGGGGCGCCAGCCCAGCCTGCAGAGCGTGGGGACTCGGAAGCCTTGGGAACCCGTGAGGCTGGGACTCTGCACCGTAGAACTGGGAGAACAGAGCATCTTAGAAGGCGCGGAACAAAGCCTCTTAGAACGTCGAACAAAGGCCCCTGGAATCGCAGACTCTTACAGCACATAGCCTCATCGCACCTGGGAGATAAAAGACACATTCTGTTCTGGGCCAAACTTCCACGCAGAGAATCATTCCAGAATTTGGGGACACAACCAATCTCAGAATCAAGACTGGCTACATAATTTTCAGGTCCAGTGCAAAAGAAAAATGCCGGGCACCATGCTGGAAAGATGATTTCAACGCAACCCTAGCAGACATTAAAGCAAACGCAGGGGTTATTCTAAGCAAGATCCACACCCTGCTGAAAAGCATAATTTTATGTGTGTATGTGTGTCTGGTTTTACAGCTGAGTGTCTGGGAAAGCTTCTTATAAGAGGAGGCGAAATCGGGGCTGCTCCTCTAAATGTAGCCTCCCCGTGCACAGCCTCAGAAGCTGAAAATTGAGGAGGGGCGGTTGGAAACAGCTGCCAAAATGTCACGTGGATCCCTTCTCTATTTATAGACCACCCTTCCCCTCTCCTGGATCAGTCCAATGGCAGCCAGAGCTCGCCCGCAAGAGGGCGGAGCCATCTGCAGAACCGGGGAAGCGTGCGCCAATGGTATCGGGACGAGGGCGGGCTAATTTCATTGTGACGCGTCGGGAGGGGGCGTGACCAAATCCCCAAAGGCCCGCTACGAGGGGGCGTGGCGAGGCTGCCTTGAAGCAAAGTGAGTAGGTCCGCTCGGAGCATGCGTCGCGTTGGGCGGTGCCAGTGCCCCGCTGAACATCTTCGTCAGAGAGGTCACCAGCCAATAGGCGGCCGTTGCTGTGTCGCTGGGGGGCGTGTCTATGCAGATAAGGCGCGGGTGGGCGGCCCAATGGGCGGGCGCCTATGCAGATGAGACGGTGACAGCCCGGCCAAGCGGGCGGGGAGGTGGGACCGGGAGAGAGAGGGGCGGCCGTGGGGCCCGGCCGGGCTGGGGCGGGGGGCCGCAGCCATGATCCGGGCCTTCTCGTTCCCGGTGAGCCCCGAGCGGGGCCGGCTGCGGGGCTGGCTGGAGGGGAGCCTGGCCGGGCTGTGCGAGTTGCACTGGCTCCGGGAACGGCAGGAGTACCGCGTGCGGCAGGCGCTGCGGCTGGCCCAGCCCGGGATGGGGGGCGCCGGGGCCGAGGACGCCGAGGACGCCGACGAGGACGAGGACGCGGCGGCGGCGCGCCGGGCGGCGGCGGCGCTGGAGGAGCAGCTGGTGAGGGGCCGCCTGTCCGTCCGTCCGTCCGTCCGTCCGTCCGGGGGTCTGCATGCTCAGATGGGGGAGGGCAGAAGGGACGAGGAGCGGGCTTGGAGACCCCGCAGTCCGGGCGGGTGATGGGTGGGACCTGGCCTCGCCGCCCCCAGGCCGGGTGGGCGGACTGGGGGGGAGCACTGCCTGCTTTCCGCCGGGGCGATGGACAGGCCCTGTCCCCTCCTCTTCTTCCCGGTGGACGATCCCTCTGGGCGCCAAGAACGTGTCAAATCTGGGTCCCAGTACTATGCACGCGTTGGCTCCCCGCAGAGCCTGCCAGATCAGAGCCGGGGGGAGGGGGACCTAGTCCCCATTTCACAGAGAGGGAAACTGAGGCTCCGAGAGAGGAAGCGACTCATCCAAGGTCACACAGCAAGCAAAGAGTCGCCCCTCTGCTCCACCCCCCTTCCCCAACTGCCGGGGTGGGGGATGCATCTTCGCCAAGTCCCCCCCCCGCGGGCCTGGAGATCGCACGGGGGCAGAGGGGGAGGGGTCCCCCAGGATCACCCTGCGCCAAGGCGCCCCCCCACCCCCCGCACCAGGCCCCGGGCCTCCCTACACCCAAGGGGAGGCCCGGTGGTCCGACTTCCGGCCGCCCTAGCGCGCAGGATGGTCAGAGGCCCCCCATTAAGAGGGTCTCGAGCCCCCCCCCCCCTTCTTGAGTTTCCCTCTCTGCCCCTGCCCACCACATCTCTCTCACTTTCGGATGGCTTCTTTCCCGGCCCGGTCTCCATCTCTAACTCCCTGGTCCTCCCTCTTTCCATTTCTGTATCTTCCCCCCCCAGTCTCTCTCTTCCCCTCCCCCCAGCCCACAGACCCCCGGCTCCCCGGGCCCACCCCGTCCCCAAGCCCTGTGTGTGGTCAGAGTTTCCCGTTTGGGGAAACCTGAGCCGCGGTGGCGGAGGGGGGGAGGGTCCCGCGGTCGCTGACCTCGACTGCCCCCCTCTCCCCAGATGGGAAGTGGGGAGGGGGGCTGCAGCCAGACGCGGGCGCGCGCCGGCCCCGCCCCCGGCCCAGCCCGGGAGTGGGACCCCGCGCATTCTTCTCCAACCAGAAACAGCTGTGGGAGGCCCCACCCCCTCCCAAAGTTAAGAGGCGGATAGGGGGGGCTGCACGCCAGCTCCCCCATCCCCTGCGCCCCAAGCTGCCTGGCCTTCGGGAGGAGAGGGGGACCAGGCACCAGGGTGAGCCGGCTGTGTCCCCCCCCTCCTCCCCCATAGCCCTCCGTCCTTCCGGCTGGTGGGGAGCCCTAGTCACTAGGCAGAGCTCGACCCATCACCAGGGAAGGAGGTGCAAAGCCTCTGGTGTGTGTGGGGGAAGGGGGATGGGGGGGCTCCTTCTCCAAGGGGGAGGGGCGCTTCTGATCCCTGCACCCCATCTGTGGAGACTTAGCCACGCCCCTGCCTTCACCCAGGGACCCACACTACTCCGCCTTAAAGCAAGGAAAGACTGACGCCCAGACTTGTGACTTGGCCGAAGGAAACCAGGGTTTCTCCACCAGGTAGAAACTAGGGTTATTGGAGACCAGACCTGACCCGGCGTGAACCCTGGGGCCAGGCCAGGGCGAGGGCTGCTTGGGTCCTGTTTACTCCCAGGAAGGAAAGAGGAAAAAGCTCCCTTCCGGCAAGGAGGACTGAAGTTAGACTTGCAGAAGGACTTCCTCACTGAAGTAAAATGCCACTGAATTAACGCAAGGGAAACGCAAGGAGAGGAATACAGGCTTCAGGAAGCAGACCAAGGGGCCTGGTCCTAAAGATGCCCTTGAAAAGTCTGGCTGAGCTGGGAGGCCTGCTTATACAAGCCTTGCACACACACATGTACACACACACACACACAAGTGGTGGGCCCCCACAGGGAGGGGGAGCAGTATTCAGGCCATGGACCTCTGGTCTTTTAAACCTCCGTGGCTTTTTTTTTTTGCAGCTGGGAGAATGAGGTCAGACTTGCAAAGTAGGAGAGATGGACTGGGGCAGTATTTGATGGGGGTATTTGACCCTGGGGGGGAGCAAGACCCCCCACACTGATTGTCCCCCAATGTCTCCCCTTCCCTGTAGCAGAACTGAAACTCGACCTATAGAATTTACTCCCCCCTCCAAAAAAATATCATTTCACACTGATATTAATGATGCAAGCAACAGTTTAAATCTGTTCCTTAACTGGAACCCACAGCTCTGATAAGGTTCGGAGACACTTATTCAAGGGAATTGTCCTTAACGCCTTCCAACATTAAAACAACCCTACAAGAGACTGACCTGGGTCATGCCAGCTTACACACCAGGAGATAGCCCAAGCCCATCTTCTTCCAGCCTTAGCTGGAATGGTAAAGCTGCAGCCCAAGGCCCACAGTGTTTTGTTATTGTTCAGATGGAGTTCTCAAGAGCCCTTCTGTCCTGGCTGACCTGGAACCTTGATCCTTCCTATCTCTGGGGTAGCTGGGATTCCAGGTGTGTGCTGCCACACTTGGCTCAGTAGTCTGACAAGTCCTTTAGGAACAATCATACATACTGGCACCGATTTAACAACACACTGCCTACAGGCGTAGACTTCTAAGTCTCCATTGCCCAGTGATAGTGTAGCTATCTGGCTTTACTAAGGACAGATGACAACAGCCATGATACATTTGTGAAGAACATGTCCCCTGACTAACTCTGACGCCCTCCCTCCCTCTCCTGCTACACATCCTGAGGACCTGCTCCGAGCTGTGTCTTAGCAGTACCCAATCTGCCTTGCTCCATCTTAACTGCTATATAGTATTTCACTGGAGGCATTCAGACACAAGTATCTGCCCCAGTGAATAACTGCAATCATCCATATACAATGTATATAATTTAAAGTCAAGAGGCCTTATCCTATGTGGGAAGAAATGGAAAAGGCGGGGTAGCAGGGTACGGGAGAAGGGAGCAATTTTGGAAAAGCATGGGAGAAGGGATGGACTGATTCTGTGAATAAAGCATGGAGGGGTGGAAGGAGATGTGGGGGGGGGGTCAGAGTCTACAGGGGCAAGCTGGCACTTGGGAGGTGTCAGACATGGCCCCAGAGAAGGGTTCTCAATACTGCACAATTTGTTTGGGGGCGTTGTGACATACTCAGAGTAAGAGCAGGCGCTTGGCTGATTGCAGTCTCAGCCAGAGCTGAGTCCGGGCCTCCTGTGCTGGGGGGGTGGGGGGTGGAGGCTGCAGGAGCCGGCCTGTCTTTCTGCCCTAAATAGGCCTGGCTGGATGTCTGTCCTCCATGCCCCACCCCTCCCTCCTCCATCGCACCCCTGCCCCGCCTCCCTGCCTCCCACCTCCCCCCCCCTCCAGCCAGCCAGACAAGCTGGCTTTTGTCTGGGGTCAACCGTCAGCCCCTGGCCGCCGCGACTTGTGGTCTGTGCGGTGTTCCCTGACCCTGGCTATCTCCTCCAAAATGAGGTTAAGTCCAAGGGGTCCTGGAAGCCCCCCTGCATTCAGTCCAACCTGGAATTGTTCTCTGAGGAGTGGTGGACACACACTGGAGATATCTGGTGGGAATGGAGCCAAGATAGAAGGAGGACCTAGGGGGAAGAAAAAAATCTAATCTGGAAGATCAGTGTTGCAGTACCACTAAGGCTAGACTCACAGAAGGACTTCCAGGAAGCACTAGGATGGAGATTTTTTCTAAGGGGGAAGAGTCCAGCCACAACAGGAAGCCCTTAAAGAAGACTTGCACAGCCAGGCACCAGTGGCACACACCTGGCCTCCTAGCTACTCCAGGAGGCTGAGATCTGAGGATCACAGTTCCAAGCCAGCCTGGGCAGTAAAGTTCCTGAGACTCTGATCTCCAATAAACCACCAGAAAACTGGTGCTCTGGCTTAAGTGGTAGAGCTCTCACCTTGAGCTGAAGAGCTGAGGGACAGCGCCCAGGCCCCGAGTTCAAGCCCCATGATTGACAAAAAAAAAAAAAAAAAGACTTACACAGGAACTTTCCTTGCTCCTTGATGGAGGGGTGAGGGGAAGGGGGGAGCACTTGAGGCTAGGAGAAGGCAGACCCCTGGCCAAGGAACCTGCAGTCTCCTAGGCAACACCTTAGCAGTGAACAACTCATGCAGCAAGAAGACCTGCAGTTAGACTCCAAGTCTGATGAGCTGTGAGCACAGATGGGGGAACAATGGTGTGGGGGGAGAGGAGGACAGATGATGGGAGCCTCATCAAACCTAAGAGAGAATGGGGTAGGGGAGCTGTAGCATGGGCAGGAGTTAGACAGCCCAAAGGACTTTCCAATGGGGATGATGGACAGGAATATTGATCTCTGAGGGAGTCCTGGGCCTCAGGTGCTGATTTTATCCTTTGGAAATTGGAACGTGGCTCCTTCAAGAGCTCATGGGGGTGGGGGCCAGTGGGCAGAGGTCTGGGGGTGCTCTGACCACCCTGCTTTCCCTGTGTCCTCAGGAGGCCCTGCCTGGGCTCATATGGGACCTCGGCCAGCAGCTGGGATATCTGAGCCTGGAACCCGGGGGCCTGGACCAGGAGAGCGGGCGCAGCTCGGGTGAGCAGGGGAGGAGAGGGGCTGGGACCCCCCCCCCACACACACACAGGGCTCCCCCCTGTCCCTGCCTCCTCCTGTCATCTTCCCTCCCAACCCCGATGATCATGCATGGCTTCTCCAGGCTTCTATGAAGACCGCAGCTGCACCCCAGGCCCAGAGTCACCACCCTCCACCTTCTGCGGGGACAGCGGCTTCTCAGGGTCCAGCTCCTATGGACGCCTGGGGCCCTCAGAACCCCGGGGCATCTACGCCAGCGAGAGGCCCAAGTCCCTAGGTAAGGTGAGCGGGTGGGGCTGGAGGCCAAGGCCAGGCCACTAGAGAGAAGGCTTGGAGAACCTGTGTGCGCATGCGTGCCAGTCCTGGGGATGGAACTCTGGGCCTGGGCGCTGTCCCTCAGCTCTTCAGCTCAAGGCGAGCGCTCTACCACTTGAGCCACAGTGCCACTTCTGGTTTTCTGGTGGTTCCTTGTAGATAAGAGTCTCATGGACTTTCCTGCCTGGGCTGGCTTTGAACCGTGATCCTCAGATCTCAGCCTCCTCAGTAGCTAGGATGACAGGCGTGAGCCACCGGAGCCCGGCTCTTGGTGTGATCTCTAAGCGTCCCTTTTCCCTCTTGGCTTGTGTGCATCCATTCATATGGGGTTAAACCAGAGGACGTGGTGGGGAGCCTCTGGCCTGAGGCTCTGGCCTTCCTCACAGGAATTGCTATTCGTTTACACAACGGGGTGCAGAGCCTCTGCTCTGAGCCTCGCTAGAACCGATTAAGAGTGAGGCTCCGGCACTGACCAGGACAGACGGCACCCTGGCCTCATGGAACAGATGTTCTGATCCGAACTAATGCAGGAGATGAGTGATACAGGGTGCCGGATATTTGCATGTACTGACGAGAAACAAACCGGGGGAAATGGGCTAAGAAGTCCCCCTGGAGGCCTGCGAGGGAACTGCAGTCAGTACACCTACCTGTAAGGGGGAGGGGGTCTCCCAGACATCCGAAGGGGGCTCCCTGCAGTGAGGAAAGGGCCCAAGGGGGCGGAGGAGGGAGTGGAGGCCACTCCAGGACAAGCATGGATGAAGAGCAAGTGCAAAGGCCCCGTGGTCAGGACACAATTATGCTGTGCCTCCAGGAAGCAGTGTGTCTGGGGAGGGGGGGACGGTGCGGGCCGGATGGGAGGAGGTGAGGGAGTGGGGGGGAGGGCGTGAGAGGGATGGGAGGGGGTGAGAGGTCGTGCGGGATCCCGTGGAGATGCAGTTGGGAGTCTCACTCAGGATACAGCGCGGCGGGCAGGATGAGGGGGGTGCTGGGGTGGGATGAGGGAGGATGGGGGGTGCTGGGGTGGGATGAGGGAGGATGGGGGGGCTCCTGCCCTCCTCGACTTCTCCCCTGTCGCACCCTCCCCTAGGCGATGCCAGTCCCAGCGCTCCGGAGTCGGTGGGCGCCCGGGCAGCTGTGCCGCGCTCCTTCTCGGCGCCCTACCCGTCGGCGGGGTCGGACTGCTCGTCGGCGGAGCGGCGGGCGCGCGCGGGCCCCTTCCTGACGCCGAGTCCGCTGCACGCGGTGGCGCTGCGCAGCCCGCGGCCCTGCGGCCGCCCGGCCTCCAGCTCCCCCGAGGCGGCGGCGGCGGGCGGCGGCGGGCGGCCCCTGGACGGCTACATCTCGGCGCTTCTGCGCAGGCGCCGCCACCGGGGGGCGGGCCAGCCCCGGACCAGCCCCGGGGGCGCGGACGGGGTGCCGCGGCGCCAGAACAGCGTGCGCCAGCGACCCCCCGACGCGTCCCCGCCCCCCGGGGGCGCGCGGCCCGCGCGGGAGCCGTCGGCGGAGCGCGTCGGGGGCCGCGCCGCCAGCCCGGCCCCGCTGAGCCGCGCCTGGGCCTCGTCGTGGGAGGCGGAGGCGGCTGCAGAGCCCGCCGCCCCGGCGCCCCCCGAGCCCCCCGACAGCCCGGCGGAGGGCCGCCTGGTGAAGGCGCAGTACATCCCGGGGCGCGCGGCCCGCCGCAAGGCGCCGCCGCTCACGCGCGGCCGCAGCGTGGAGCAGTCGCCGCCCCGGGAACGCGAGCGGCCGCGAGTGGCGGCGACCCCGGCGGCGGCGGCGGCGGCGGGGCGGCGAGGCCGCGCGCCCGAGGCCCCCGGACGCCGGGGCTCGCCCCGGGCCCGCAAGGCCGCGCGCTCCCAGTCCGAGACCAGCCTGCTGGGCCGCGCCGGCCCCGCGCCCTCCGGGCCGCCCAAGTACCCGACGGCCGAGCGCGAGGAGCCGCGGCCCCCGAGGCCCCGCCGCGGCCCCGCGCCGCCGCTGTCCGCCCAGGCCTCGGGCGCGTGCCGCCGGTGGCGCTCCACCGCCGAGATCGACGCCGCCGAGGCGCGCCGCGCGCGGCCCCGCGCCGTCCCGGGGCCCCGCGCGCCCCCGGGCCCGGCCGCCCCGTCGGCCCCGCCGCAGCGCCGCCTGCTGTACGGCTGCGCGGGCAGCGACTCCGAGTGCTCGTCGGGCCGCGCGGGGCCGCTGGGCCGCCGGGGGGGCCCGGGCGGCGGCGCCTACGGCGAGAGCGCGTCGAGCGCCAGCGAGGCCGAGTCGCCCGCGCTCAGCTCGGCATCCAGCGACTCGGACGGCAGCGCGGGGCTCGTGTGGCCGCAGCAGCTGGCGGCGGCCGCGGGGGGCGGCGCGCCCGCCGGGGGCCCCGCCAAGGTCTTCGTGCGGATCAAGGCTTCTCACGCGCTCAAGAAGAAGATCCTGCGCTTCCGCTCCGGCTCGCTCAAGGTCATGACCACCGTGTGAATCCGGGGGTTCGCTCGGGCTCCCCTTCACCCACCCCACCCCGCGTCCTGGCCTCCGCGCCGCCACATGCCGGCCCATCCGCACCCACCTTTCCAAAGACCGCCATTGTGTGCGCGTGCGCAAAGACACTCTGCGCCCCTACCCCCCAGTCCATGGCAAGCCCAGGCCGGCTGGAAAGCCCCCCCCACACACACCCCAGGAGGAAGAGGGGGGACCCCGGCTGACGCGCGCGTCAGCACCCTCCGCTGAAGTCTTTAGACAAGAAGGGACGCCCTGGTATGCAGAGGGGCAATGGGTTTAATTGTCTCCGTGTTCGTTTAGACTAGTCTGTTCCCCTTCACGGCTCTCTTCCGTGGGCCTTCTCACGCCTCCCCAATCCCGTGCCCAGATGTGGCCCCTTGTCATTCACAAAGTGCCCCTTCCCTGTCCCTGGACCCCGGGGACGTCCCCTCACACTGGGTCACGGATGGATTCTGTGTCTCCAGTGCTGCCTGCGGAGTGCCCCTCTCCCCCCAAGGGAAGGAGCACCAACTTGGGATTTTGAGGGTCAAATAGGAGTTGGCAAAACAAATCAGGAAAGGACTTTCACCTCTCGCCCTGGACAATTTAAGGCTTGAGAGGGAACGAGAGGAAGGAAGGTGGTTTATATCTCGTGCCTCTCCCCACAGTGAGTTGGGGAAACTGGATGACCCTCACCTGTTCCAGTTTTTTTTTCTTTTTCATTTCTTTTTTTTTTAATTACTGTATTTATTACGATGACGGTGACTCCCCAGTGCACAGGGGGGCCAGATCCTGTGTTTCTTCTAATCTCTTGGTAAATAAATGCACAATGTTCCATATGTAGTGGAATTTCATGCTATGTTGACTGACATTTATTGAGCAACTGCTGTTTGCTTTTGGAAGGACTTACCACTTGAGACACCCACTCCCAGCTCTTTTAGGGGATCAGGACTACAGTTTTGAGACCAAAATTATCCTCTCTGCAACACCCACTGGTCGCTGGGATTATAAGCATGCAGTGCCACACCTGGCTCTTTCATGTTCTTTATGTGTTTATAAACATATGCATACATGAGTGAGGTGCTTAGGTCTTTTTAGTAAAGTCATTTGTGCCTGGAGATTTCTTTATAGAAAAGGTATAGATTCAGGATTGGCAGGTTTTCTGCTCTGCTGATGGCTCACGCCTGTAATCCTAACTACTCAGGAAGCTGGGATCTGAGGATCAGGGTTCACAGCCAGCCTAGGAAGTTGGTGCGATTCTTATCAAAATAGCTATTGTCCCGCCTAGAGACAGGGTCTCCCTGGGTATTCCACACTGCCCTTGCACCCAGGGCCAGAATTCTTAATTTGTCTTCACATGCTTAGCCCATTTTTTTAAACCAGGTGAGACCCATAATTATACCCTTCTTGGATGGTAAATGGAGGCCTAGAGCTGCCATGATTAATATGGGCAACTGAAGCCAGGGAGAGAAGGGAGGCGGCTGGGAGGGGGTTGTGGTCTGAGTGATTGGAGCAAGTATGAAAGCTTTCCTGGGTTTTCAGATGACTGTACTTAATCACACAGCCGGCTAGCCCGTAACTGCTCTTACACCAGGCCGCTCCACACTTGTAATGCTTCAGACATGAACTTCCTCACATCCAATGAAGGCAGCTATTCTGTGCACACACCAGTACTGGGGCTTGAACTCAGGTCTTTGTGCCCTTGATCTTTTTCACTCAAACCTGGTGCTCTACCACTTGAGCCACACCTCCATTTCCAGCTTTTCGTTAATCAAAGAGTCTTAAGACTTTTCTGCCCAAGATGGCTTCCAATCATAGTCCTCCATTCTTAGCCTCCTGAGTAGCTAGGATTGCAGGTATGATCCTAAAGCACCCCAGATGTAAGTTGTATACATTGTGTCTCCTGTTTTGTTCTGTTTTTAAACCAGAGGTCTGTCCAGAACAGACTCCCTACTTAAGGCCTTCCTCTAGCTGGTACCACAATGCACCATTGTGCCTGGCCTAGTGGTTGAGATTGGGGAGGTGTGTGTGGTGGTGGTGTGTGTGTGGGGGGGGGTGTCTTGCTCACTTTTTGTCAGGGCTGGCCTCAAACCAGGATCCTCTGGATTGCTACCTCCCAAGTAGCTGGAATTACACCTGTGAGCTATTGTTCCTAGCCCCAAGAGCACAATTATTGATGATCTGAGTGTGAAATACCTACTAGACATTCAGGCAGGGAACTTTAGTCTAGGCTTTACTGTTGCTGTTCATTTAACGTTTCTCCAATAAAGCCTCTGGGGGTGGCCAAAGGGGCAGGGAGGGAAGACTGGGTCAGCACCCTGTTTTCCCAGCTCCAAGCTGGGTTTCCTCCTAGGGGGCTGCCCAGGCCAGAGCTGCTGATGGAAACCAGCTGGGAGAGGCGCCGGGCTCGGCACACGCCCAGGCCCCTCCTCGGCGCCGGCGGACCCCGCTTCGTGGTCCCCCTCCCCCTTCCGCAGCCGGCCCGGGGCCCTGGCACGTCCGGCGCCTGATGCTTTCCAGATGTGGGCCGGCTTCCCCGCCCCGACCTGGCCCGGCTGCGCCCGCCAGCGGGGAGGGGGAAGGGAGCCGGGGTCCAGAATCCCGTGACTCACGCCTGTAATCCCAGCTACTCTGCAGGCTGAGATCTGAGGAGCTCGGTTTGGACCCAGCCCGGGCAGGAAAGTCCGTGAGATACTTCTCATCTCCAATAAGCAAAAAGCTGGACGTAGCTCAAGTGGTAGAGCACCAGAGCCTTGAGTGAAAAGTTCAGGGACAGCGTCCAGGCCCAGAGTTCAAGCCCCAGGACCAGTATTTAAAAAGAAAAATACTACCGGGACCAGTGTTCCCTTCCCGCCGGTCTCGCTTCTCGGTCCATTCGGTAAAAAACGAATTGGGCTGTGTTGGGCCAAGATGCTTCTCCGCACCTCCGCATCTATCTCTGCCCCTACCCGGAATTGCAGCCAAGAGACCACGCCCACAAGAGACCACGCCCACAAGAGACGGGCCCATCGCCAAGCCTGAGCCCCTCCCACACACCGCGCCCCGCCCCAAACAGTGCCCCGCCCCCGGGCTCTCCTCTTCAGGCCCCGCCCCCGACAGTGCCATTCCTGGGGCCTGAACTCTGGGCCTGGGCGCTGTCCCTCAGCTCTTCAGCTCAAGGCTAGCGCTCTACCACTTGAGCCACAGCGCCACTTCCGGCTTTTTCTGTGTATATGGTGCTGAGGAATCGAACCTAGGGCTTCATGCGGGCTAGGCAAGCACTCTACCACTGAGCCACCTTCCAAGCCTCTCCCCGCCCCCCCCCTTCCCCAGCTTGGTGAATTGGAGATAAGCGTCTCACGGACTTTCCTGCCCTAGGCTGGCTTTGAACCGCGAGCCTCAGATCTCTGCCTTTTGAGTAGCTAGGATTACAGACGTGAGTCACCATCTATGTCTGTCTTTTGGCCCACCTCTCTTGTCTCTGTGCCTTTGTTTTTCTGTTTGTCTGTCCGGGCCGGTCTATGCTTGAACTTGGGGCTTTGCTTGTTCATTCACTCTTACCACTGGTGCTCTTCAGCCACGCCCCTAGCCCGGCTTTTTGCTGGTTAATTGGAGATGGAAGTCTAAGGACTTTCCTGCCCAGGATGGCTTCAAACCCCGATCCTCCAGATCGCAGCCTCCTGAGTAGCTAGGATTGCAGGTGGGAGCTTGGCTTCTCCCTGGGTCTGTGTGCAGCCTCCTGAGTAGCTAGGATTGCAGGTGGGAGCTTGGCTTCTCCCTGGGTCTGTGTCCCTCTGTGCCCACTCCACCTCCCTGCGCCCTCTCTCCGCAGTCTCCTCCCTCCCAGCCCCTGAATCTCCTCCGGAGTGATGGTCTCCTGGTCCCTTTTTCTCTGCAGCTGTCTCTCCCTGCATCTTTTCCTGCCTGTTTCACTGTCCATCTTTCTACCCTCTGCTCTTCCTCTGGCTCCCTCCACCTTTTCTAGGTCTCTGTTCCCCGCCCAAGCCTTTCTCAGCTCCCCGATCCGGTTCCTGTCCCGTCCCCTACCCTCTCTTCCCTGTCCCCCCGCCCCCCCCCCCGCCCCCCGCCCCTTGCGCAGGGCAGAAGTGGCGACTTGCCCTCCCTGCTTCTATGCCCCAGGGTAGCGTTGGTTCGGGCCTGGTGTGAGGCTCGCGGGTCGCGGGCGCCCCCGTGTGGCGGCCAGAATCATAGCCGTGGCCGAGGGCTGGGCCCAGGGCGGTGATGGACAGAGACTGGGGACCCACGTGAGAGATGGCAGGAGGTGACTGTGCGTGCCTACCACCGGGATGTCAGGGTGGCTGTGACGCCGTGAGATTGTTGGGGGATACTGTGGGAGGTTGTGTGTCTAAGACACCAGAGGCCATAGATGGAAAGTGGCAACTCTGTATGTAACTCTTAGAGGCAAAGGCAGGGTGTGGCAGGGGTGTGTGTGTGTGTGTGATGCAGAGTCATCATGGGACAGGAGTGTGTAAGGTCATTTATGTCACCAGGAGATGTCACCAGGTGTGTGCTGTCATGGATGGGTGACTGCGATGCTAGGTGGCGTATTGTGCCTCAGTGTCCATGTTCTTGTACAAATGATCACAGAGCATTGTGCATAGGAGACCCTCATAAAAGTGTGTGAGGCTGAGACATTGAAATGGCCCAGGGATGTGGGTGCTGTAGGTGTTTGTTGTTGTTATTTTGGTTTGGCTTGGTTTTCGTGCTGGAGTTGGAACTTAGGGCCATGCACTTGCTTAGCTTGCTTGCTCAGTTGGTGCTCTAACACTTGAGCCATGCCTCCCACTTAGTTTTTTGCTGGCTAATTTTTTTTCCTGCAGAGGCTAGCTTTGAACCATGATCCTCTAGATCTAAGTTTCCTTAGTAGCTAGGATTACAGGCGTGAGCAACCGGAGTCTGGCTTCTGTGAGTCACTGCTTATACATTTGACAGTCTCACAGGCTGCCTTTGGTGATGGCATATTCTACTGTAAGAGATCGTGAGTGACAGCTTGAACTGCATGTGACGGAGAGAGGCTGCACTGGACACCCAGGAGTGGCTTACACATGTGTGCACTCACACACACACACACACACACACACACACAGAGCACACCTGTCAACGTGAAGTATCATGGAGTGAGAAGCACACAGAAAACAGAAGCAACAGAGACAAAGCAGGGAGGGACAGATATGGAGAGAGGGCCTGGAGAGA